AAAGGATCAGCTACTTGTAAAAGTTATAAGGTATTTTCTCCCTCCTTTGCGCGTGCCTCCTTGGTGTAAATGGAAGCAAGCTCGAAGTGTATTCGGAAGGACCGGTGCTCGACTTCCGGCGAGAGCGTTATGGATTTCTTTGATTTCCTTGCTTCAAAAAAATTCTAAATATCTCTACAGTGGCACTCGAACTAACAACGGGAAGGACGATAATTCGTCATCACTAGAAGTTGACGATTGGGTCCTCTAATCCGCAGTCGCCCTTTGAAAGGAAGAGTATTGTTACGAAATGTCCAGGCGCGTAAGATGACTTCAACGCAAAGCAGATTTAGGGTTGCTATAACATGGCAAAGGAAGGCAGGGTTGCCACATTTGGCAAGAAATCACCCATTTGGCGACAAAATAGCTGATATGCCATGGACGGATGGAGAGCCTTCTGGAACGAATTCTTACCGGTTTAGCGCAGAATGTTCTCGAAACCAAGCCGAAAGCCCTGCTGGTCCGCAGTCAGTTAGTGCCTCGTCTAGAGTGCGAGATAGCTAGTCTCGAGTTAGTCAGTCCGTGCGAAGTCGATCGAGTTGACAGCCGGGCAGCAAGAGCCGAGTGGGTCGTCGAGTGCATCGAAAGAGTCTGTTAGTGTATCGCGGTTAGTGCATCGTTGAAAGAGTGTGTTAATCTCCGGGAACGACTGAACCGAAGAGTCGGGAGCTGTGCTCTGTGTGTCGTCGAGTGCATCGAAAGTTGTGGCGTGGAGACCGTCGAGAGTACGTGGAGTTCCGAGAACGATTGAGCAGAGTCGGAGCTGTACTTTGGTGCTTTGCCATGAAGCAGTCTTCATCGTGATATCTTGAAGGCTGTGTCGCTGATTGTTCCAGCATGTTTATAGTAGATCTTCGCCGACTGTAAAAGTGTTTTATAGCCTTTCTGATTAATATTGGTAAATAAAACGTGTTTCGATATTCCATCAAGTGCTGTCGTCGTTATTCACTCCAAATCCACACGAACCCCGTACAAACGTGAAGGAAGAAAAATAATGTAACAACTGGTGTCAGAAGAAAAAAGCGTAACAATATATAATTTATGTTTTCTCTACTTTCCTCATACCTTCATGGTGTACCTGGAAACACGTTCGACGTGTATTTGTAAGATCCGGAGTTAGAATCCTGGCGAGAACACTGCACATTCTTCACATTCCTGCTTCGATGCTAATTAACGAATATACAAGAAATTAGTTAAGTTGTTTGAGCACCCAATAGTAAACATTTTAAAATACAGAATGATTCTGGAAGACTAAATGCAAAATAAGAAAATAGCTATCTTTCATCGAGTGATGCTGATACGAGATGGGTGAATCTTTTCAGCCTATTGATTAACGATGAGTTCAAGGTGTCATCAAGAGTCATCACTAGTGTTTTATCTGCAGTTTTAAAGTGCAAGATAATACTTTATTCATTTCGTGGAATAAACCCTTTTTCAGATAGACTAGGCTGTGGTTTAGGTCATAAGAAATATCCTGGCTAAATCTACAACGTGAAGAAAGAGTAACTTCGTTGTTGGGGGGAGCAAATTCTGCTGCTTCGTTTTACGGTTCTTTTCATTGCTTTTAGAGTAATATTCAGACAGACTAAAAAGTATTAGTTCAAACACGCTACGGCTTAAAAATGCGTTTTTCCATTTTAAATTTATTCTTTGGTGCCATTTCCACGTCCAGTATTGAAGTGTAACGTTTACGTTCAAGAAAACCAAAATTAATAAATGTCTCAAGATCTGTAAGATGTAAGAAATTACATTAGAGGCAAAAACAGAGCTTTGGGTAATTGAAGATGATTGTGAAATTTAATATGTGTTAAATTCTACTCTACATAGCTGTTTAAAGCAGAATGTTGAATTTTAAATTCAAAATAGAATTTTAACCAACACACCCAACTCTTTTAACATTTTATATCTGAGTTCTGAAACTTGTTGCTTAATGTGCTTTCCTGTAAGCTCAAATTTCAGATCAGGTAAACTGGCGAAAGTAAAAGATTATACTTATTTCAAGAAAGATATTTCATGAAATTGATATATATATATAGCAGGTGAAAGATATATCTGCTATTTAATAATTATAGAAAACTCTATTTTATTGTTTATACCAGTATAAATTCAGATAATTAAAAATCTTTATGCAATATTTTTGAATATTATGGAATAATTTAATAGGAATACAACATAAAAATAAACTGATATGTACTTGTAGATTTACTTGGCACACAAATATATAACATTATAAAATGAAGTAAATAAAACAGATGATTTGAAACGTTTTCTAATATGCCTAAACGCATGTGACTGAGACTCATTGATTTTAGTTGTAGGTAGAAAAAGATCACTTATACTACTTCTTACCTAGAGATCCCTATTAAAAAAGCTGTCTTCCCATAATCCACGATAAACTTTAAATAATCTTCCCATAAAGTGAATCTAATGAAGCTTTATATAATAAACATTCAAATGTAATGTATGGTCAAGACTTTAAACAACGCTATACAAATTATATCTATAATGATATTCGATCTTGTAATTCACAACTGCTAAAATTCTGCAATTATTCAAAGCTGCAGTTCGGAGCCGTAAATACGGAGTTCACTATCTCGCTTTTCATGTCTCGATGCTTATTTCTGTAAGAGAAAAACAACGTTACGAAGCATTATCGGAAGATTTTGGACCACTAAGGCTTGAGCTTTGTTATACAAGGTGTGTTCGAAAAGTTCGGTGAATTTTACCATAAAAAAAGGAAACAAGCAAAATAGCTTTACTGGCCTTCAAAGTATTCGCCATTAGCAACAATACACTTTTGACATCGGGTGTACAATTGTTGGAAAATGTCTGCAAACGCTCCTTTGGGTATGGCTCGAAGCACCGTTGTCACACGTTGCTGGATCTCAGTAATGTCGGAAAAGTGTTGGCCTTTCAGAACTCCTTTGAGGAGGGGAAACAGGAAGACGTCCGCGGGAGCTAGATCTGGAGAATGGTGGGTGATCCAAAACTGGAACCTGGTGCCTGTCGAGGAATTGGGTTACACGGATCGCAGTGCGCGGCCGGGCTTTGACATGGAGCAGATTTCCTGACCGTAAACTTTCACTAACATGTCATGTGTCTCCGTCGCCATTTTGCCTAACTTGAAGCAAAACTTTATGTTTATGCGTTGCTCCATGTCACACTGACAATCTTTCTCACACTGACTGTGTTTAAACTGCTCATAGCATGAGCTTCCTCTTATCTGTCGTAAAATGGCCGTTAGATGGCTCTAGATGACATTTCTCTCACTGCGTCTGCGTGAGTGCAAGATCCTAACCGGCGCGGTTTTTTCATTATGATACCAATCACCGAACTTTTAGAACACACCTTGTACGATGTGACAAACAGGTTCAGTTTAGTACAGATATTTCTATGAAATTTAAGTAACAAAAGAGGAAGAAGGTAGAATGTAGTAAATTACATTAGCACCGGAATTTTTGAGATACTAGAAAACATGAGGAGAGATAAAGAGTCTAAAGGACATGAGATAACATGAGAGGAGATCAAGAATTCTTTCCTCTGTTTTCATGTCTGGATAAGGTCTCTCTGATTATGCTTACACATGTATTCCCTCAAATTTCAGAAATGTTTTTTTTAAATATTTAGGATCATTTTCACTCATTATTTCTGCTAACGATTAGGCATAGTAAAGATAAATATAGAACTCAGTTTTATTATTATTATTTTATTAATAAGTCTTTGTTAAAGAAGCAATTTCTTTTCAGTTTTTGCAAAAATATTTTGTTTCATTAAGCAATGCAAGCTGTAACTCTTACACCATAAGCATTTTCAAAATGTAAATTTATGTATATGTGTTATGTTTATGTTTATGTATATACGTGTGTACAAAATTCAATATTATACTTATACTGCAAGCGATTTAAAATTCTCAAATTTTATCAAGGTGAACATTTTATAAAAAATAATACGCAATTTTCTCGAGAAATGCTGTTCACTGAAAAATGTTAGTTGTTTTTAATATATTTTTGCACACTTAGATAATATTTGATCAAAGAGAGAAAATTATAATAATTAAAAACAACCTAATTATTATCTGAAAGATTTATTCATCTTGCTCAATTTTAAACTATTGGATGGAGCAATTCTTTTCGCCGTTTCAGTTAACGTAATTATCATTCCAGTTGTTACTAATGTGTGACGGTTATTTTAAAAATATTTATCCGAAAAGCACGAAAGATATGCATCATGATATTTAATGAAAGTTGATTCTACTGTAATTTATTTTGTAATATTTTAAAGCAATTTCAGTGTTCAAGTAATGATCATGAACTGAGTTAGTAGATTGTTACGTAAATAGAATTCTTCGAAGCAAGGTTTCTGGTAGTTCGGTCCGGGGTTCGAATCCCGCGAACGGGCTGGCTGCATGGGCGTTTTCGTGGTTTTCCCCATGTGTAACCTGTATACGAGCCAGTTTCCCTTAGAAAGTCCTCCACGAAGGCATTCCTCCCCTTAGGCAGATAGCCCTAGTGTGCTTTGCCATAATAACAAAAAAAAATGCACCATCGAAGCAAGGTTTTATAATTTTCGATTAAAGCAATTTCTTCATTTGAAGCAATTTTAAGTTTATTTAGCAGAGATTGGAGTATATAAATGAAAACAAAGCTTTTATTAAACTACATAGCAAAGGAAAAACCATTTTTCAACATCCATTCAGTTCTAATCAAGTTGTTACGTGTTAGATATTAAACAGATAAATCCGGAAATCATATGGATACGTTTTTCATTGAAATTGTTTTGCAACAGATAAAAGTATGATTAAAGCAATAAATGAAAGAAAGCATGTTTTTATTTCACAGATTATAAATCCTGACACTAGAAGAAATTAAACATCCTTTCTCATCAATTTAGAGACTAGGCAGTTTATCTAATTCTTACCAATTTCTATATTTCCTTTCTCCACATAACTTTTATTGCTACGCTAAAACCATAATACTCCATGTTATGCTACTGACCCATTATTTATTTCCTTTCATTCACACATTTTGGTTTTGCAACCTTTCTTCATATAACTGAGATCAAATTTCAGAGCGCATTTGATATTCATCTTTTGATAAGAAGAGTGAAGAGTGAATTTTTAAAAGGTCACGCCATCTATATGGAAAAGAAAACTTCTCGCTCAGTGATATCAACTATGCATTAAAAGCTCTGACGCTGCCTTTCAAGAAAGCTCAATCGGAATATTGTTGCGGATACAACGACAAAAAAAACCTTAAAAGGGAACTTTCAGATATTTCTATAAAAAGATTAGCGTTTTTTCTTCAACTATGATTATACCTATAACGAACATTTCAGAAAAATATATCATTTCATTAATTCTAGAGGCGAGGTTTGCTGCATGCTTATAATAAATGGCTTTCTTTCTCCGGCGTTGAAGACTAGCTTTTCTGCCAAAGTTGAGGGTCTTTCAATCATCACATTAACAGTTGGATTTAACCAAACGTAAAGAATGGAGTTTGAGGATATACTTTTAGAAGTTGGTGACTACGGAAAGTACCAAAAGAACTTGATTTTGATCTTCCTTGTGCCAGCAGCATCCTTGCTCCCATGGTTTTCCATGAATATTATGTTTATGGTGTCCGCTCCCGAACATTGGTGTTATGTTCCAGAAGTAGCTGCGTCTAATATCAGCATTTCCCTTCAAAGATCTCTAATAAGTCCACCTGACAGTCCATCTTGTTATATGTATGACATTAATCACACAGAATATTTAACTGCCGGTATCTACGAAGTGCCCAATGATACAACAGCAAGACCTTGTAGTCAAGGTTGGCAGTATGACAAAACCTACTTTGATTCAACAACTGTCACTCAGGTAAGTGCCATTTCTTGCTGTGTAAAACGTCAGCTATCATTACAGGAAAAACTTGTGAAATTTTGAAATTATTGTTGATATTATATCAAGAATAAGGATCCGCACGTTTTGCAATTTTCGCATAAATGCACTTTGTAGATTGTTGTTTCTCGATGTTTACTGATAGAAGGAAAAGTAATCAGCGTAGAACCATGAAAGAATAATGGTTATTCTAAAAATATATAAAAGTTTTAATTCAAGCCGATTTTGAGTTTGTAAATACACTTGCTTTTTTCAAATGGCGGGCGCTATTATATGGTCTGGCACGACTAAGACCGGAAGCGGTAGTCTCTTTATTATTGAGTGAGGCAGTTATAGGTGGGCCACCGTTGGCTCTTATGAATGGTCGGGTAAACTGCATCCATGCCTTCCCCGGGGTTCGAACACGTGCCCTTCGGTACGGCAGTCAGAATCACTAATCATGTTTCCCTCTAGGCAGCAATCTGTAAATACTAAAAACAATTATGATGGTATATTTTAAAACACGTATAACATAAAAGTAAATGAAATAACGCTATTTTCTTTATATTATTTTGATATATCAGTTGATTTGCTATTCTCCCAAGAATTTACTATAACTATTGTAATGCCCATTTGTAAAAGGAAAGATTACTTCATAACTGAAATGTGAAACAGCATCTTCAATTTTTAAACATTGTTTTGTTTAATATGTTCTTAATTTTTTTAATTTATTAATTAATTAATCTATTTATTAAATTTATTAATTTATTTATCTCTTAATTTGTTTATCTTGGGTTTTGAATAAAAATAAATCAGAATGTAAACGATTGTGTATAGCTTATGAAATAATGAATTCAGCCCATGATTAATAGAAAACAGACTAACTTTCTTGTTATTCATTAAAACAATACAAGTATGAGCTACGTTAATTCTTTTTTTTTTTTCCAGTCAGGCTGGAAGTTTTAAAAAAATATTTAAATGTGAAATCTGGGATTCTTTTTTCATGTTAAGGAAAGAAATTCACGTTTCCTTCATTTTTTAATTTATACTTTAATTTTACGGTTCTTTTCTTCCTGTGATCAGAACTTAAAACCATTTTTATTAAGTGATTCATTATTTCAGTTATGTCGAAAATTTTATACGTAAAAAATGTACCAAATATAAAAAAAAAATTATGTTGCCTCAGGGTATCATTAACCAATTCAATATAACAGATGAGCCACGTATTTTGAAATTATTCTAATCTTGTGGTTACAATAAGCTTCTGATTTAAATTGTAATTAAAATTAAACTAAAGGGGAAATTAATTAAACTGAAAAAATTAAAAATAGTGATAGAAAACGGGATAGAAAATGGGGATAGAGGTAAAAGAAATCGATTATTTCTTTGCCTAAAAAAATTCTGATACAAGTTTTAAGCCAATCTTAAATGCAACAGTGCTAAAATGTATTTTTAATACTGCTTAACTGTTCTTTAATTCCAACTTAATCAAATTAAATGTGTATTCCTCTGATTTAGAAAATTAAATCTAAGATAGATTACTGTTGCTTATTTTTTGTATCTTTGTTATCAGTTGACAACGTATTAGAGAAATGCTTAGCATAAGTGCTTTCCGAAAAAAAGTTTAGTGCGTTAATTATACTTCTCTTCTTAATTTAATTAAAAAAAATCCTTAAGATCAAAATTTAAAAAAATCTGAAGTGTTTCAGATACACATAGACGACAGCCCATAAAACACACATATACATAGAAGACCACTCCTAAAAGAGATCAGCATTTTTGAGAACACAGTATATATTAATATTGGACATCACCTCTCCAAGGCGACCTGGATCCTTAGGAAAATCCTGGATCTATGTTTGGTCACCTTAGAGAGACCAGTTTCGTTTAGTATTTCTGGAAACCAGTATTCTGAGAATCTAAGTGTAACTGGTATTTAATATCACCTGTTTAAGACAACCACTTGCAAATAAAAAATTCAGGATCAGTTTCTGGTCACTTTAGAGAGACCTCATTGCGTTTGGAAGTATATATAATTATATATATGTGATGTACCAGCTTTTGTCAGGAATAAATAGATAGTTGAGGAATCATAAATGTAGTCGTAGCTTAAATTATCAGACGGTAAGTTTATAAAACAGGATCCATTTATTATTGGTCAGGAGAAATAGCAGTTACAAAATCAGATATCCGGAGTAAATAGAAAAGAACTACTAATAACATTTTGTATGAAGTTTACTGCGTGACATTTAAGAAAAAGCCCCGATATTCTTTTGCGAGTCTTTTTATAGCCTCTGGAAAGGCGGAGCTTCCAAGAAATGACGTCAGCCTCGTCAGCCATTCCAGTTCGCTTTAAATATTTGCAGACCATTCTATAACTGTACGTGTAGAAAAGGCGGGAAAACAACTTGACTACGGGGCTGTGGATTTAATTCCACGTACTTTCAAATAAGAGACCGTCGCCATTAAAAAAATGAAAAGATCATGCAGTTAGAAAACTAAGTGTAATTTTGACTATGGAATTTTATTATTACATATATATATATATTATATATATATAAGTATCGATTATTGTTTATAGTTTACAACAAAAAGTTTTAAAAATAAACAAGGAAATCAGCATATAGTGAACCCTTTCTAAGACAACTACTTATTTTTTCAGGTTATTCTGGTCGTCTTCAATAAGTCATATTTAATACTTATATTTATTTATAATCTTAAAAATGGTGATCGTTTTCAAAGATGGTCGTCTTAGGTAAGAGGCTCGCAAATTTGAAATTTAACTAAGTTGCAAGCCTCGTAAATTTTACTCCCGACTGCATACCTACATACAAAAATTTATTATGACCTAAAAACATATGAATGCTCTGCATGGAAGAAAGAAAGAATCCTAGTATATAATGTAATAAAGAAATAATAATAGACTAATACAATGACAACACCTCTATACAATATCCATCTTTGAATGTTACCCGTACATCTCAGAATATAAACAGTCATCAATATTCTCTACTCACAGTTTGGGATTTACTGAAATATTTCATAGTATGTAGCATAGAATATCTGATTCTGTATCTCACGTTTAGTGTTATATAATCATCCGCAGACTTTATATAACAGTTTTACATAAAAATAAAACCTTTAACATAATAAGTATTTACACAATATGTATTTCTTAATGAAAAATGCTTAATTATTAACTTTTGTACTGTAAAAATTCCATCTCTTCGAATAAGTATGGATATGGTCACACACATATACACATGAGCCACCTTCATATACACATATGTAATTAATTATAAGTATCTATTAAATAATTGAGTTAACAAAACTAGATCTCTATAAGGAAAAATTATAAAGATACCATTCAAATGTGTTTTGCGCTTCCTGTATTTACACTACAAAATAAGATTTATATAATGCGGCATTTAGCAGTATACATGAATCTTCTACACAGCACTATGTTAAAATTATTCTCCTTTCAATTAAGAGAATATAGCGCATATAGTTGCATTTGTTTACAAATAGTTTTATCTATTTTAGTGAAATCAATACAAAGATATAAATTTAGTGCAGAAAATTGTAACTGCTACTCCTGCAATATAAATAATTTACAATAAATGTAAGAAAATAATGTTTAAATATTACTTGAACTGTATTTGAAAGAAATGCTAAAATAGTACCCTTAGAAACCCCATAATATGAAAATATTTGGCTTTAATTGTTTTGTGAAACAATAATAAGTAATAATAGCCAAATAATGCCATGGCAACGAGAGGGCTCACTGCATGTTTTTTAATTTTGAACTTTCCTACGTTTTACAAAATGAAATAACCTTAATCTTAATAGTAGCAAATAATAAAACAATTAAAAAAAGAAAAAAAAAAAAAAATCTGAAATGTTTCAGATTTTAAATTACGTCCAAAGGGGCGTTTTTTAACATTTTGCGTGTTACCTTTCTTTATTAAATATCATGTTCCTCGCACTTAAAACCATAAGATCCAGTGCAACAAGCAATATCGCAAAATAGTTTTAAAACGAGCATATCTTTAGAATTTCCGATACAGAGATTCACGCGCTGGAGATAAAAATGTTTTTTCTGCCAACGTTGCCATTGCTCGCTTTGAAATCCTTGAGTTTGTTAATAAAAAATTCGTCAATGTTTTAAAAAATAGGAAATCGATCATAAAACAAATTTCAAAATTTCAAAATTTGGTCTTCCACATGCTCATATTGTTGGAGGATTACGTTATTCAAAATTCGATGACTCTATGTACCGTTGTTTTATCACAATACGAAAATATACATACATTTATGCAGATTTTTCATTATTTAATTTCTTCAAATATAATGCAGGACTCTAACATTTTGTGGCAAGAGTTTGAAAAGTGAACCGACATTTATGAGTCCGACGCAAAATGCCAAAACGAAACTAATAGTCCTTCGGGATTCAAATCCCTTTGGACTAATAATAAATAATTTGTAGAGACATTAGGATTTTTGCAAATCGGAGAGATGAAAAATTAGCAGCCGCCTTCGCTGGAAATCGAACCACGGACCTCTGGAATATCGGCCCAGCGTTCAGAACCACTTCACCACGAAGGCACGCTAGGAAAGTGGGAGAAATACCTTATAAATTAAGTAATTAAGAATAATCTGTAGTCAACATAAATGCCTATGCATTTTGTAAACTTTCGTTAACTTTCATTGTTTATAAGAAGTATATTGATGTCAGTTTAGAAAATCCACATAAATCAATAGAAGGTTTATAGTTATGCCACTTCGACTGTGTTGGTGTCACTAAAATTGGTACCAGTTAGAAAACCAGTTAAAGGCAATATAAACCAATCTGAACCAATAGAGAGTTCTGATAATTGACGTTGGTTGCAAGGGTATCGATGAAAACCCACGGAGATTAATTGAAATCAGTAAAGGTCAGTGAAAACCAGTATAATTCTGTAGATATACTAGTACAAAGTTTAACTGATTTTGGGGCATTTTGTTACCTGTAAGGAGAACCGATAGATACCATTAGAAACCAGTAAAAACTCACAGAATCCTATTTGTACCCATAAGGAGTTTTACCTCATTTTAGCAGGGCAAAGGGGTAAATTCACTGTTAAAATTATCAAATTGTTAATATTATCAATATGTCGGATAATGCCATATTAAATATTTAAATTAGTTTGTGATTATTATACTGAATTGTTGTAAATAAAATGTATAAAGGAAATACTAATACTGTTTATGTTGAAAAGCATGAGCCTGGATTCTTTATCTCTCTCGTTAGTAAGATGATGAGATTCAAAGTGTTTTTCTCAACTTGACCTTGAGTTGTAAAGAGATTATGCATTTATCTCGTTTGGAGCTTAAGAATATAAATTTAATTATCATTTTGAACGGACAGAGGATGCTTGTCTCCACAACAGAATTTATTATAAACAAATGTTTAAGATTTTACACCATTAAATTAATTAGATGCAGCTTTAATATCATTAGCTTTTGTAATTCCACAATAAATTATATGTATTTTTGCATAATTATAACTGCAAAATAAATCTATTATTGTTGTTATTGTGAATATTTGGAAATGAATTTGCAAATATGGAAAATTTGGAATGATATTTCTGGGTAAAAATTCTCATAAAAGTAATGATACCGTTTAGTAACTAACTGTGGAAAAGTATTTAAAAATAATATTAAACTCACAAATACTAATTATCATCATTCTATCTTTTTACTTCCTTGTACGAAGTAAAAAGGAAGTATTGTAATAGCGAAAAGTTTCAGGCAGCCTATTTCAACAAAAATATCCATTTTGACCGCTATCGAATGCAATTTAACGATGTTTTTGCTTCTAATCAGTACGTAAGGACAGAATAAAATACTCTTTTCCTCCAAAAATATTATAAAACTGCTTTAAAATGAATTCTGAAGAGAATTTTTCGTGGCGTCTGTACGAACGTATGCACGTACGTATCTCGCGTAACACAAAAACGGTGTCTGCCGATAACATCGCGGCAAAAACATCGTGGACGAAAACGTCGCGGAGAAAACAACGCAAGGCGAAAACATCGTGCTACAAAACATCGTGGGAGAAAACATCGCAAAGAGAAAACATCGCAGTTCTAAAACATCGTCGTCGAAAATAAAGCGGTTCAAAACATCGCAGTTTAAAAAACATCGTCGTCGAAAATATCGTGGTAAAAAATAAAGTATCTACAAATCATCGCATGACGATAACATCGCAGACATGCTTTTTTCAGGTTTTAATAATTGTAAATGGATATTCCCATAATGATTTGTGAGCGCAAGGTGTAAAGAAGGATAAATTTTACTTTCACATTTTTTATTAACTAATAAATTTTTGCTGAAAACATAAGAAAACTTTAGCATAGAAAATTAAATGTAACTTATAGATTATACTTTTCATGAAATATTACCAGTAAAAACTTTATAAAAATGATTTATTAATGGCCTTTGTTAGTTAACTATGTCGGTTTAAAATTCTATTAAGTGCTATAAGTTGCATTAATTTTCTATGCTAAAGTTTCCTTTTTATTTTCTCATAAAATTTATTAATTAATAAAAAATATGAAAGTAAAAATTATCCTTCTTTCCATCTTGCGCTCACAAATCATTATGGGAATATCCATTTACACTTATTAAAACATGCCTGAAAAAAGCATGTCTGCGATGTTATCGTCATGCGATGATTTGTAGATACTTTATTTTTTACCACGATATTTTGGACGACGATGTTTTTAAACTGCGAAGTTTTTGAACCGCTTTATTTTCGACGACGGTGTTTTGTACCACGATGTTTTAGAACTGCGATGTTTTCTCTTTGCGATGTTTTCTCCCACGATGTTTTGTAGCACGACGTTTTCGCCTTGCGTTGTTTTCTCTGCGACGTTTTCGTCCACGATGTTTTTGCCGCGATGTTTTCGGCTGTAACCCACAAAAACGACTAGCCTCAGAAAGTTGAAATTTTGTTTATAGGACTGCTCTAACGTGTAGATGTGCACCTCGTATTTTTGTTGCAATTGGCCGCACCAAACGTATATAAATACTATATTTATATATATATCCACTCTGTTACCCGGGTCAGTGATCTCAGTTTCTTTACTCTTATATGTTAGTAAATTGCACATTTTTTACTTTAAAAATGATTGAATTATGTAGTTCTTATCTTCCGGTTACTGTTTTTATGTCTTTAGTAAATCTGTATGCAATATTTTTAGAATTATCAACAATTTAAAAGCTGTTTAAGTGCGGTTAAGTTTTAAATAACATGGCGGACATATTTGTTTACATTTGAAACAGCAGAATTGTAGATTTGTTGCCAATCTGGAGAGACTAAGCTTCGCAACAACAAAAAAATCATTTATTATTGCGAATTAAATCATGCTTAATCCTTTCTGGAATTTTTTCGAGGATATAAGTGTTTAAGATTTATTTCGTAATTTTTAATACAGATATTTTGAGTTTTTATGTATTTTTGCCTTGTCGCGAAGTGAGAACTGAATTAATTGAATGAAAAATACTAAATCATCTGTGAAAAACTGTTTCTTTTCTGTTTTGTTTGCTTAACTTCTTTCATACATCGTTCTAGCTTTATTATAGTATTTGAACAGAATCATGTGGCAACGATAAGATAATTCTTCAAATGATATAAATTTTGTGCATTCAGAGTGTCGTTATAGTAAACAAATATAATGAATTTTATAGAGTGCATTTATTCTATTGTGGTTTATGCGCTGTCGACGAAGTAGATTTTATTCAATCCAATCAATTTAAATGAAATTCAAGAAAAAAATGCGTATAATTTAATATTCCGTACAAGGAAGTCATGTGGTGTACACATCAGTTTTTTTTTCCTTGTAAGAAACATGCTTTAGTTTACTCAATCCCTTCTACTGAGAAAGAGTGTCTTTCTTATTCAATTGATTTTCATGCACGTTTGACGGTTATTGGGCAGAAATTGTGCCTCGGAAAGGGAACTTTTAAAATTGTTCAAACAGTCTTCATTTAAAAATTAAAATATTTCCACTTTGAGAAATCCTTTAAAAAGTGCAACTGTTAACTCGAAATCATTTTTCTTTTATGATTCTTGGCTATAATATAAAGAATTTCTTGAAGCATTCATTTTTACATCTTTGTACGAAGTAAAGGAAGTCCTGTGTTTGTTTAACATATTTTATTTAACTGTTTTATCTATTCTGAATTTTAACCTGGTATGTTTAACCTTCTTAGTGTCATCTCTCACCGAAAGTCAGATCTACCAGCTTTGCTATGCAAAGAATTTCTTGGCACAGGCGTTTACGTTCTGTATAAGTAGCTTTATTTTCGGAAATTATTAATCATATCTTGATAGTATATCTACAATCAGAATGAAGTTAAATTTTAGGATTATAAATATCATTCCCTTCTCACACAACATTAAATTCATTTAAATATTTTCATTACCACAAAAAATTCATTAATTGAAAAATTACTATTTTATAAAAGTAATTACTATTACTATTATAATTTTATAAAAAATTTTATAAAAAAAATATATATATTATATATATTTCTTATAAAATTACTATTATAAAAAAATAATTGAAAAATTACTATTATATAAAAATTTTATATAATAGTAATACATATATTACTGTTATATAAAATTATAACCTTATAATATATAAAAGGTATTTCTTACGCTTTCCTAGCGTGCCTTCGTGGTGCAGTGGTTCTGCACACTGATCTGGTATTTCAGAGGTCCGTGGTTCGATTCCCGGCGAAGGTGATTGCATATTTTTCATCTTTTCTGCTTCAATTAACCTAATGACTCTACAATATATCACCAGTATATTTATTACTGGAAATGTTAGAGCTTTTATTCAGATGATTTTAAATAAACCTAAATATTATCCTTTAAACTTTTGTTTTTATTTTTCAAACAGTGGGACTTGGTTTGTAACGACGATCATTACAAAAGCTTCATTCTTACTATGTTCAGTGTTGGAAGTATAATTGGAACCCCAATATACGGAGCGCTGTCAGATAGGTAAGAGCATTAAATTATATTGTCTGTTAAAGTAATAATTTAAATATTAATTTGTATCTATGCAAAGAAATATGTAAGTAATTTGTGTTTTTAAAAAACTTATAAAATAGCATTTAAAATTAAGTTTTTAAATTATGTTTGTCAAAGAGAAATCGGCCATTTACAGTACTTTCTGTAAAGAATTTTATAAGATATTTTGGTACTATTCGGTTTTGAGGGCCGTAAAAAGTTGCCAAACTATTCTTGATGCCAGTGCTGCCAAAAATAATTGCGGCAACCCTAACGCAAGAAAGGAAGTATAATAGTAAATAACTATTTAAGATTGATGTTTATGACTGAATGGAAGCATAAGAGTAAATAACTATTTCAGATCATTATTATAATTTATATAAAAATTTGCTAAACATAACTGAATGAATGCCTGCATCGCTATTTCGCTACCGAGTTATCGCCAAAGCATAATTTCATCTCGTTGGTTGTTCAAACATAATTTTCTATAATGCCGTTTCTTTGAAAAAATTCTCGGTAAAGTGCAGAATCGCCCACTTATTTGTTTGCCGCTTTTTACACGAGTAAAAACAATTGGATTTTTGTCAATTAGCTTTTACTTTTTAAGTGAAAATAGGTCGATGTGTACATAGATAAAGTCAAGGGTGTGCGCAGTGCCATTTATATGCAATTCTGGGATTTTGTTTAAGTGAAAATAGGTCGATGTGTACATGGATACCGAGTATATGCATTTCTTAAAAACGCATCAAGCAGTGGATGATTCTGCACTTTACCCAAAATTCTATTGCAAACTTTTCGTCATGGGCAATTCCCAAATTGTTAAATCCATAGGATATCAAAAAAAAAAAAAAAAAAAAAAGGATTTAAAAATTAAACTACTGTTTCAATGGCGTCTTAAGAAATATAGAACTATATAAACTTACGCAATCTGAAAACAGCGCGTACGCTAGATTTGGCGCGCTGTTATATGAGCGCGTTTGCTAGATTTGGCGCTTTTGCGTATACATTTTCGCTGCAATTTTTCTACGGTCCTCAAAATGGAATAGTACCGATATTTTCAGTAATACTGTAATGCTTACCATTTTAAGTTTACGAAATGCAAAATTACATAGTTAATCTTAGCGCAATGAAGAGAAATGCATATTTATTCAATTATTTAAATAAGTAATTGAATATATATGTATATTAAATAAACAAATATGCATATGGAAAGGAAAAAGATATTAACGAAAAATTATTTTAAAGCAAATAAAAACTCTTTTACAAAATATTTTGATTTTTCTCTCAAAAGAAACCTTTATGAAAATGTAATACATGTTACTTAATGTTACAAGTTGCGTGAAAACAGAAATTTTAAGGATAAGTTGCTATTTCTTTATTATTTATTGTATTACTTGATTATATTATATTCGTATGTTACAAATACAATAAAATGTACATCAACGACAAGTAGAATGCTATGTAAAAGTTTCACCAAATCTCGTTAAACAAAACTTAGAATTATTTACATTATTTTACAATAAGATGTGGATAAGCATTGTTCGTCATGTAGTTATATTACATTATTCAGTTTTTTTAAGATTTAATTAGTATTAATTTATCCTATTAGTATTCTTAATGTAATAAATGATTCATAGATTTACGACAGAAATCAGAAAGCACGTCTCTGACTGCGTATGTTTAGTTTCTGCTACTTTGATAAAATAAATTTATCAGGTCATTCCGACTCTTTTTGTGACAGTTTATCATTTGAAATTTTTATTTTTATTTTTACTTAAATCCTACTTTTTCATTTTTCCTTCATAACCTTCATCTTTTATCAAAATTTGCATTTTGGATTGCACTTGTCTATTAGCCATGTACAGGAAATATGTATAAATTTAAACTTTATGCTGACTTTAAAGTATTACTAGTCTTTGTAGGTAACATAAATTGTAACCCAACATTAGATAGACTAGCAGCGAATTATCGTTAAGTCTTAAATAATAGCAGAGATTGGTGTAAAAGACCCTTTATTTAAATTTAAATAGAGCAGAAGGCACACCTGCTGCTTACAACTCAGCCAGCACTTACGGCTAGATAAATAACAGTAAATTCAAGATACAGTTGTAGAGACATTAATTTAATTGGAAAAGCCAGAGAGATGAAAAATTAGCAACCGCCGTCGCCGAGAATCGAACCACGGACCTCTGGAATACCGGCCCAGCGTACAGAACCACTACACCACGAAGGCACGCTAGGAAAGCAGGAGAAATACCTTATATAGTTTAAAGCAAAGTTGGCTTAAACCTAAAGCGAAGTTGGCGCAGATATTTAAATTTCGGCAATTATGATGTAAGGCCAAAGTGTACCAAATCTTATCTGAGCTAGCAATAACTTCGAAAGACAAAACACGCTCTATCTTACAGTCCTAAAACCTCAGTTTACATACACGCGAGTTAATTTGCATTTGGCATGGAAACGGAAAGAAGACAGGGCTGAAATCTGAGGCAGGGCGGAAGTCAGAGACGTGTCGGAAAGGTCGGCGAAGGAGCCCGACACTCAGGCATTTATTGTTCCGATGCCTGCGGGTTTTACTCTAAAGTGTCACATCGCCATTGATTCTTGAGTTGCGTTTGAAACTCTTAACCCTTTGAGGGGCGGTATATAAAATAATTTAAACTGTGGTAAAATTTTGAATGAACTGTAACTTATGGATCCTAAGGATACAAAATTGAGACTTAAAAAAAATCTAGAGCGAAATCCTGAATTTTGAGAGCCGGTATATATTTTATACCGGCGCCCCTCTAGGACATTTTTTTCCAGGTAGCTGCCAACTGTTAATCTTTGTTTTTAAAATTAATTTTGGGTACTTTTGATGTGAGTCTGCAGTGATGAGTGCTTGAATATAGTTATGTAAGTATAAAGACAATTTTAAAAAAAATTTTGGCAGAAATTTAAAATTTTAAAAATAAAATTTATGTTTTTATGCACTTTGATGACGCAACCCATCTGAACATACTTATGTAAAATATGGGTAAAAAGCTTTTCAACTTGATTTAAATTCAATATTATTTTATAAAAAAATTTAGCAAATATAACACTGCATGTGTAAATCGTATCATGCTGTAACTGATTTAGTATAAAATTACAAGCAGATGTAACTCAGCCGAAAATTTAAAAAAAATTGAAAAATGAAGCACTACGACCGACTCAGCTGAGAAAGTATGTTGCATTTTTGAAGTTGTATTTTATACTTTAGATAATATGTGAAAAAACAACCATGCTTCATACTATGATACGAAGAATCGCCCCCCCCTCCACGCACACACACTTTAGATCATCAAGGACCGTAAGCGTCCCTTTTTTATTTTTTGTAAATACAGGTTGTAATATATCGTTTTGCTCAGGAAGAAACGCCGTTAAACAATTTTATTATTTGATACACCTCAAAGTTCTTATTCTGATTTTCAACCCCTTTGGCTGCATAGGGGCTCTATTTCAACTTTTGGATAAATTTTAGTTTGCATCTAAAACGGGCCTTAGAAATATTTTTCCTCCTTTCACCAACTGTGAGAATTTATTTCGGAAACAACCTATTTGTATCAACGAGAGCGCAGATTTCTCTTGTGTTCTTTAGTCTTTCATCTGAAATTAACAAAGAATTTCCCTAAAGAATAAAAGCATGCTTTCAAACCAGTAGTTTTTGTGAAGGAAGAGCGACGGAGAGCTCGCGACTTCGGGTGAGATGGGCCTTAAGTACATTTCCATTTTAAGTGAGCTTTCCCTTTGTGTGATCTTATCACACCTCACAAAGGGAAGAAGGCGTGACTCCCGAATGACAAATTAGTTGTCAATCACCTCTTTCATTTTCCTTCCATTCTAGAATTTTGGAAAACACGAAGCAACGAGTGTCTTTTGGGGGCCAACATGCCACATTTAACCCCCACAATTGTGTAAAGTTTTGACCCCAGATGGCAATTTTGAAATCGATGAGTCTTTCTCTTGGAAAAGAGATAAGTACTGAAATAAAAATTTTAGCTAAACACAGACGAATGAAACTCGAGCTGAGTACGCAAAGAATAAATGAAACTAATATACTTGTATTCAGTCCTAGCGCAGAGAGTCAATAAACTTCCCATTCCTCCATGAACATAATACTGAATCCTAAACGACTTATAAATTAATCATGAAAAAATTATTACATCATAAACTGTTATAATAAATAAAGAAATTCTGTCATGTCACAGAGTATAAAAGGAGAGAAGAAGACTGGTGCTGCCATCTATTGGCGTGGTACCCTCAGTGTGGGCGCCGGTATATATTATATACCGGTTTTAAAATCGTATAAATAATCTTCTGTTAATTATCATTTCTGATAAAAATGAAGTAAATATATAAGATTCAGCATGTGTACGTCATGAATTCGCAGGTTTTGAATCTTTTCTTTCCCTCCAATAGAATTTATCAATCTTCCAACATGATACCTTGCAAAGAGGTACATTAATTTCATAACTGCAAAATATTGAGCATTCATAGGGTGATGCTACCATTTAGATTTGAAAGGAAATACTAGAAACTTACGATTATAGCTTTTGGTGTAGAAAAATTAGCATTTTTTCGGAGGTTAAAAAATTGACAAACAACCGGTATATATTATATACCGCTGCCCTTCAAAGGGTTAAAGGGACTCATACACCTTAAACCCCTTATGATCTTCGAATATGTGACTGTTGCAAAAATTGGGATATTTTATTTATTTTAAAAGCAATTACTTCCAACCTTTTACAGCTGACTACATAATATAGCTGCTTTGGAAAATAGTAACCAGAAAGTTTGTGTTGCCACAAATATTTTTGTAATTTAATCGTCTTTGTGACAAAATATTCGCCATGTTTCCACCTTGCGCGCATGATATTTTAAAAATGGCTAATGGTACATACTTGAAATTGGATGGAATTCTTTATATGGGTACTACTTTCTAACTGAACCAACAATCTGATGAATATTTTAATATTGAAAAATTTTGTGGACGAAAACATTAAAAATTTTGTTAATAAAATACATTTTATAAACTCAACTCAAAATAAAATAAAAATTTAACATGAAATTTTTAGAATTTTAGGTTCACAGTAGTTTCCAAATGTTATAAAAGCTATATATTAAATATGGAATCAAATTATGATACAGAATGTTTTAAACTGTGCGCGCAAGTTGGAAACATGAAGAAAAATGTTGTCACAAAGCGGATTAAATTATAAAAATATTTGCTGCAACACAAACTTTCTGATTACTATTTCAGAAAGCAGCTATATTATGTAGTCAGCTGTAAAAAGTTGGTAGTAATTGCTTTTAAAATATATAAGTTATCCCAATTCTTGCAACTGTCACCTATTCGAACATCTTATGGGTTTTAAGGTGTATGAGTCCCCTTAAGCAACATTCACACTTAATACTCAAAGACTCTAGCGGAGGTAACCTGTGCATAGAACACGGATCTATCTAACCTAGCTATTTCACACTTACTGAAAGCGTCCATTAGCGACAGCCAATACGCGAGCAGAAAATCGCACGTGCTTTCATTTGTTTACATTTCATAGTTGACAATATTTCGCCTTGGATCTTTGAGCGGTACTGCTCTGAAATATTCTCTTTCGTGATTGGTCAGTTCCATGTGCAGACTAGCTCCGTTCTGCGTTCTGCTCTAAGTTCAGATGTTTCAATTGGTTCCGTTGTGACAAAAAAAAAAAAAAACTGGTTTTCTCTAGCTGAGTGGCTGTATCGGTGCTTTTGATGTATCCGTTAGCTCCGATACGTCTCAGTGTGAACGGCCTTTTAAGGGCCGTTTAGACTGAGTTAACGGAGACATCTGACATAGTCGACCTATCTCTAAAAACAGTTTTTTCGCTTAAGGCAGCGAAATGAAAAATCTGAACTACAGGTATAGCGGAACTAGTCGACACGTGGAACTGACTCCGTTAGAGAAACCCCAATCTGAACGGCCCTTTACTGACGGACCTAAGTGAGAGCCTATATGCCTAAGTGACAGGCCAAATGTTTATCAGCCAGCAAATGCATGTGTATCTTAAATCATCAAAGTAACTTTTATATTTAAGCTTTCGAATTACCAAGCCCATTATATGATACAATGGAATGTTCACAAACATTGTATTTAAATGTTAAGGAAAATGTAATTCAGTTAAGGTATGTTAATATACGCATTCGTTACTCAAAATTTCAATTTAGAAAATAGTTTTACTCCTTATCAGATATAAATAGCACAGAAAACGATTTAAATTTTCTAATCTTTTTAAAGTTTTATGATAAATATCTAAATTTACCAATTATTGTATAAACTTAAAGCATTTTTATGTTTGTTTCCCATTTTAAAATCAGTTTTATTTAGCAAAAATAATACATCCATCACGATTTTATACTGAAATTTCAAAATTTCGGCTCTCACATTCCTTTAAAACAGTTGTTTAAACAATTTGTTTCAGCTTCAAATGATGTGTTTTCCAAGCTGAGTTCGAAACAAAAGAAACAATATATCATTCAAATACTCGCCTTATGAATAAAATCTTCGGCACAATTATTTTACCACATAGTTAAATACTAAGGTATCTGCGATTTTTAATGTGATTTCATGTTAATTTCATTTTTCAGGATTGGTCGAAAAATAACATTTTTCATTGCCATTCTCGTCACAGCCGTGACAGCTATAGCTTCTATACTGACGACCAATTTCACTGCATTTGTGGTAATTAAAACCATAAATGGTAGTCTGATGCCTTCTGTGTTCCAACTTCCTTATATCATAGGTGAGAACTGCATTTGCTTTGATTATGTGCTATATTTAAAATAGGTGTAGTAATACTTCCTTAAAAAATTTTCCAAATTTTTAAGAAGACAGAGAGAAAATTTAGTAAAAGATATAACATAGAGTGAAAACCTTAAAAACAACCAAACGTATTAAAGCATACCTTAATATGATCTATAACAAATTTACCAAGTTAGGAGACTATTAGGTTAGTATTATTTGCTAATTTCGGAAAGGAAAACTCAAAAATCATCTGTGATATTGCGGAAATTTGAGCCACTGCATCTACTATTAAATCCTAGATACATTCGCTAGCCATTTACAACAAAAGAACACTTAGAGCGGGTATGTGATGATTACTCGCATTCTTCCCCACTTAAACAGTGAATGATTAATTATGGAGAGGCACGTGATCCACTTGGTCAGATCCGAATGGAAATGAGTTATCAGCCACTACCTTTCATTCTAGACGCTACTGTAAATATTATCATAAAACATGAGTTTACAGCCTTGTCGAATTTTGATTTCAGTTTCTCCACGAATCTTCCATTTACTAACTGTATTACACTTACACCATTAGCATATACATGAAAGACTGCCACAATTCCTTAGGAAGAGAGTTTTATGTTTTCCATTTTCACAGAAGTAATACATTAACGGAGGAAACTTCTTAACGAAGGATTATTCAACTTGCCAGAGTTCGAAAAATATTTTTATCTGTAGGTATCAGTAGACAGCAGATGTTTGCGGATTATGATATATATTTTATTGGTTTTACTGGGTTTTTAATTCACGTAACCTGCATATTACAATCCAAGATGTATCGAGTATATATGTTACGGTGAAACACCGAAATCTGGAGAATGTCGACTTTCACCGGTGAATGTCAACATTCACATAGTCGCTTGGTGCATGTCCGAAATATTTTCCAAATACTCTTATTTCTGACTTACACTGGTCAATGTCGACATTCACCATGTGCTAATGGTGAATGTTGAACATATAAGAATATTATATTTTCTTCTCCGTAATTCAGTCTCGAAAAAACGCACATGAGACTTAAAACGAGAACTTAAGAATATAAGAACTTAAAACACACAGTACATTCAAAATGAGAAAATAAAGGAAAACTTTCTTAATAGTACATTCTAAAAGAAAATAAAATAATACTTAAAAACTTACTAAATTATGTGATTCAAATCTTATTTACTGCAACAACATAAACTATTAGGACACTTTGACTTGCACAAGAGGTCCTTGCTTTTACAACTGCATTTATTTGTGGAACACTTCCTTTTGCAATGACAGCACGTACATATACTCTCTCTTTTCGACCTACACCAGAGCATATCTGTGATTGTCGACATACACCGGTGAGGGTCCGAATGTACAAGAATGTAATGCAATATTCGATTTTTCACCAACGCATTTGGTGAATGTTGACATTATCCGGTGAAAGTCGACATTCTCCAATTTCGGTCTTTCACGGTAACATATACAATTAAAAGCATGTGAGGTCTCCTGTGTCATTTATTTTCCAAACAGTTGCTCGTTTATTTCTCTATAATTTGAGGTTTTATAAGACAAATACTAGCATAGTTACCATAAATATAACGCGTAGTACGATTAATGGATACACTATTATTTTTAATTATCTTCTTATTTAAATAAAAATACACATTTTTTTCCATTTTTCAGAAATTAATGCTTAGCCATTTTGAAAAATTAGCTAGCAGAAATTGCGTGCGTGTGGCATGCTTTTCGATAAATCTTTTGGGGGTCAACGCTATTGATGAAAATTACTTAAAAATAACAGTGCGCTATAATTTCTTCTTTTGAAATACATTTAAATAATAATTTGAACCTATAATTCTTCCTACATATATAAAGAAGAAAGTCTGTGTGTTTGTTTGTTCGCTAATAACTCAGTTACTACTATAGCCTATCGTCACCAAACTTTCTACAATTCTTTTCTGCGATCTAAGGTCGACATCCACTATAAAAAAAAATTTAAAAAAAAGAAGCTAAAATCAGAGATATTAATTAAAATCTCTAAAAACGCTACTTTTCGCTCTCATTTTTCCGAGTGGCAACAGTCTCACAAACGTAGGAGATGAAAATCTGCTTTATTTCGAGAAGTGTTTGCCACTGCTCTACTGCTCCTTTTCAAACCGTAGAGTTTGTTAATCACGAATTTTTAAGTTTCACAATGAAATAAAAATTACATTATCGAATATTAAATACCTTATTTCCTATTCCGAAAAATCAGGTGAAGCCATTTCAACGGTTTCCATCTTCGTACGACTTTAATCAGCAGAGATATTAATTAAAAACTTTGCAAACACTAATTTTCGCACTCATTTTTCCGAGTGGCAACCGTCTTGCGCGTCGGAGATAAAAGTGCTTTATTTCGAAAAGTGTAGCCACTGCTCGCTTTCAAATCGTAGAGTTTGTTAATCAAATATTTGTGTCTGTTTGTGTGTTCGCGTTAGTAATTTCTGATAAATTATGATCGATTTTTTGCCACATTTAATCGCATCATATTGAATATAGGTGAAATTATTAGATGGAACTTCAGCTTTTACGACCATTTGATTTAGAAAGACGAAAATCATTAAAAAATGTGTGCCACTGTTGCTGATATAATGACAGTGAACTAGTTTATTTTTTATTGAAATTTTTTATGTGGGTTCCCTATAGCATCAGACAGAAAGATGTGTGACTATGAATCGTATTTTTTGCATCGTTATTACAGAAGGTTTACAGTGATATCGTTCTCTCTGCTGTTAGATGCATTACTCTCAATTATAACTAGCATCGAGTACTTTCGCTAGTTTAAAATAAAGGTTGTAAGGATTATGTCAATTTTATTAACAGTTAAATTTTAAGTTAAACTTCCTTTCCTGTCAAACTCTTAACTTCAACTTAGCTACTTCCGACCAGAAAGTAGTTTTAGAATCTTGCTGAATATTTAATGAGGAGGAGCGGTATTTAAACCAGGAAGTTACTTACAGAGTGAGAGAGAATCAGAGTTTCTGATTTACGCGCGTCTGCCTTTTTGGCTACTCTCACTCTCAAAGCTGTTATTACGCTCGGCCGTACTCAGGCCCTTCCTAAACTTCGTAGTCAAATACGCTAAGGGGCCAACTCGATTTGAACCTTGATGGCTTCGGCTATACTTCTTTAGTAAATCTTAGTTTAATTTATTCTTAGTCTTTTAAGTTCAAGCCCAAGTGCGGGCTTTGTTTGTACACTCCCAGGCGGAGTTTTGTTAAATCTTATTGAAATAATAAAGGGTTAGTTACACTTCTATCTTGTTGTTTCTTGTCACCCGAACTTTAGCGATTATTCGCTTATCAGTTCTTAAGATTTTTCACTTCCAACGTTAACTTAGAATTACAAAGTGAGAAACTCTACAAGGTTGCAGGGAGAAATTGCAGACACTAAAATACAAAATTCAAAACCATTTACTGGGTTATAATATAATTGAGAAGTGCTGACCTGTCTTATGTATTTCTATGTTTTTTACAATTTTTAATTTTATATCAGTTTTTTAATGCTTTTTATTGTTTTATATTTTTTTGTTTGAGAATTTTTCACAGTCTGATCTTATATAATTTTTTATTAAAATTTTTTTATAACTTTTTTATTGGTTTTTAGCATGTAGCAAGGATATGTACTTACTTGAAAATCAGTCAACAACGCCAGTAATTTTTATATACATTTCGTGAAATATTAAAGAAAGCAGCTATAATAAATATACAAAGTTAAAAACATTTTAAAAATCAAAACACACTTTTATATTTCAGTACTGGAGATTGTATCTCCGGAGATGAGAACTCGTATGAATGGAATCATAAACAGTGCTTGGACATTCGGTTTATGCTTCGTGCCGTTACTCGCCTATTTATCCCGAAGTTGGACCATTCTGGGGTGGGTCACCTCATCAGTGACCTTAATATATTTGTTTTATTGGAAGTAAGTTTTGTTTCTTGCTTTTAATTTGAGATATTTAAGAAAATTAGCTTTCATTATGTGAAAGAAAATCAAACCTAAGTGCGAGAGTGTGTATTTTGTAATAAAATCGTAAACCTATTTTACAATCGTAAACATATTTTTACAATCAAGATTTTCTTTTTGACCAAAATATGTTGTTTTATGTATTTCTTTCGCTGGCAAATTTTTCGAATGCTTCCGGTTTCGAAGAATTGAAACAAAGTTTTCAGAAATATGTTAATAAGACTTCACGAGGGATTTTTCTTGGTAAATCTGATGTACATTTAAAAATTTTCATGAATAACATCACCTCAAAAAATGCAAAAATTTTATGCTGAATGATTTGTTTAAGAAATATTGTCTAGCATAAAGAAAACTTTCAGAATTACTTATAGAAATTTTCCTTTATATTCATTTAGCAAATTTTTGAGGTTTGGCATTGAAGTTTCCGTAAGGTACGAATTCATCATGATACTGAAATGTGTAAGAATGCTTTCATTGAGCATGGTACTGGAAAGAGAAAGTGTCCAATATGCTACATGTTCAAGTAAGGTACCTGTGGGCGGGGCACCAGAATTTTGCTTTTGGACGCAATAACTGGGGAGGGACTCCACCCCAATTTTGATGGTGTGTGCCCCAGGAAACTATGCAAGGGTTGTCACCTCCACCCCTCTTTCCCTACGATTAAGCTGATCAAGAGGACGTTCGACTCGCCAGCCCCATGCCCACTAACACACATCCATGCTTTTTCCGGACATTGCGCCTTTTCCGTACGAAAGCCAACCACTATTCCGATCCAATATATACGGAAGCTAACAAGTATAGCATAAATACTAACTACTATACAGATCAGAGCGACAATCCAATATGCTACTGCAATATTCCCATAAGTCTTAATGTAGTTTACATTGATCTCAAACTTTGCCTTTAGTCTTTAAGCGAGCATAGTTAAAAATCATATGCTGTCGAGATTGTTAGAAAACTTTTTACTTAAGAGTTATTACTCGTAGTTATGCTAACTACAAAAGCAAAATCTAAGAAGTAATGTATCTAAGAAATCTCTTTCGTATTTATTCGTATTGATATGGTATGTAATTAAGACACAATAACACGCTGAATAAATACTAATTCAGAAGTCAAACAACAAAAATCAGCGTTATACCTACAAAATTTTCACAGGACTAGTTTCGATGGTTTTACCGAACCATCATCTTCAGCTGCAAAACCGCAAATGAACAAGATAGGAAATAATGATTAGATAAGATATGAAAGCCTGGACAAGAATAAGCAAGTGGCGCCATCTGTTGGCGAAACCAGAACTAAAACATAATTTCTCTAAAAGCCGAAGGCAAATTTGGATTGGAATTAGGATCGTTAACTAGAACAGAAAGATTTTTATGAATGTGAAATGCCTCTAGAAAATCCAGTTCTCCAATGGAAGATGTTTTTTGAATAATTTTGGCAGCAGAAAAATTGAAAGTGTGATTTTCGGACCAACAATGTTGAGCAACAGAAGACTTCTGTGTTTCCTTTTTTCTAACATATGCCTCATGTTCTTTGACGCGAAATTTTAAGGCTCTCTTAGTTTGGCCAATGTAAATTAAACCACACTGGCAAGGAATCCTATAAATACCCCAGGAATTCATATCCGGAATGGGGTCCTTGAGTATAGAAAATGGAATTTTATTGATGGGAGAATAAAGGAAATGTTAGAAAAAAGGAAACACAGAAGTCTTCTGTTGCTCAACATTGTTGGTCCGAAAATCACACTTTCAATTTTTCTGCTGCCAAAATTATTCAAAAAACATCTTCCATTGTAGAACTGGATTTTCTAGAGGCATTTCACATTCATAAATATCTTTCTGTTCTAGTTAACGATCCTAATTCCAATCCAAATTTGCCTTCGGCCTTTAAAGAAATTATGTTTTAGTTCTGGTTTCGCCAACAGATGGCGCCACTTGCTTATTCTTGTCCAGGCTTTCTTATCTTATCTAATCATTATTTCCTATCTTGTTCATTTGCGGTTTTGCAGCTGAAGATGATGGTTCGGTAAAACCATCGAAACTAGTCCTGTGAAAATTTTGTAGGTATAACGCTGATTTTTGTTGTTTGACTTCTGAATTAGTATGGTATGTAATGTTTGAAAATTCAATAATGTTATGTCTATGATAAAACATTGAAAGACATCACTCATATTTTTGAATTTAAAAAGTATGAATTTTTCATATTTAACTGTTTTTACATCTGAAAGAGTCTCAGCAAGATAAATGGAACAACCGAGATTCTTCCCGTTAGTGAAAACTGATAAAAAATTACACGAACAAAATAGGTTTAGGTATATGGTTGAAAATAATTTACCCGCTTGTACTCTATGTGATAATTAATATTCTAGGTATATTGTACAGAACAAAAGTCCTTTCACCATGGCATATCAATTTTTGAAAGTCTGGAAATGCAACGAACTGTATGAATATCTTCTTGTGTTGTGCAAATAGCTGCACCGGTTTTTTAAGTTTTGTATTATTGAATACAAAGGTGATAGATATCAATAGTGATAAAGGTTATAAAAGCATCAATAATAAGTTCATGTAAAGTTCAAAAGCAATTTATACATGAATACTACATTGGGACTTACGATCCCTGCAATGGTATCTGAAGTAACAGGTAATTAGATAATGAGATCTAACTAAATCAGGATACTAAATTTGTCAACTCCTAAAAATCTTATTTAATAAAAGAATGCAGCTTCAGGACTTCTCCTTTCTAGGGCAAATTATGGGAAGCTTGTGGTATTAAAACTTTCGTTATAACTTGGAACATAAATGCCAGATCTGATGCCAATAATATTTTTTCACGCCAATAATTCAAGCACCAATGACACAGAATCATTAAACGTTGGAGCCGTATTCTTTTTTTCTTTTTGCAGGAAGATCTTTAGCAAATGTTAATTGAACTAAATCTAAATTAAATTTTTTAAACACACCTTGAAAACTTATCATTCTTACAGAGAGAACTCTGTAAGTTAATAATTAATTTTTCAGTTAAACTTCATGATAACTTCAAGGCAGTTTCTGAATATATAAAAATTAGTTCGAGTGAACATTGTAAACAAAATTATTTAGATTTAATGGTAAGAATGTTAACAAAAATTCTAAACTATTACTGTTTAAGAAAAATATGTGTTCTGTTGCACAAGCATTGCATGAATAATAATAATAATGCGTCTTTCTCCTTCAAAAATTTGTTCTGTCAAAGCATTTCTGCTATATCAAAGTATATTTGTATAATTACTTGCTGATACAGAAATAATTGTTGTTTACAGATACCTTCCAGAATCTCCTCGATGGTTAGTTTCTCAAGAAAGATATGAAGAAGCACTGGTTATCATGCATAGAATTGCAGCTAAAAATGGAAATGCTCAAGATAAGAATATTCTTTTGCAAAAACTACAGGTACTCATTTATATGTGATATACATCTATTAATTCTAAAGATTTCAGAACATTTCCTCTTTGCATTATAATCAATTCTATCTGCAAAGTTACACCCTGGCACTAATTTTAGAAAATGTTTTTTATTATATGATATTAAATTATTATTAGTTAACCTGCATATATTGCATAGACTTTTAACATATAATAATAGAAATATTCTAAATACGTATATATGTATTTGAAAGTAACTAAGTAATAAACATGTGTTATTAATGGCTCAGCGCCCTAGATTTTACAATTTACAGCGGAAGTGTTTTTGAAGTCCTAACCAGTTATAACTAAATTTTACCTTAAATCGACTGGCGAGCATACCGCAGAAAACATCTTCGACTTTCCAAGATCAGTTTGAGCTCAACAGAATTGTAAAAATATTAAATTATCAAAAGGTAATGTTGTCTATAAATATGTTTTGTTCTAATATGGAATGGAAACTGGCAGAATTAAATGAACATTCGCTTAGTGTTATATCTATTATACCTTTGTCTTTGGTACAAAATAAAAAGGTAGGCACTTTAGAAATGTAAATCAAAATAATTTCAAACTACAGTACTTTTGAAAGCAACTGCATATAAATCAAAGAAATTTAATCAAGATTATTTTCGAAAAGTTGCCACTCATTAAAAGTTTCCTGCTCAAAGAGGCAGACAAGTTCGAATCATCTATTGATTTAGAGTTCTGAAAACGACTTTAATTTCATAATAATTTGTCGTCATGACAACAATTTTTTAAAAAAAGAGTATGGATAATCTATCTCATGCGAAATGCATCCAATTATAAAATCTCATGTAATTGTTGCTGAAACACTACAGAGAATCTCATTCCACTTCATCTACTCACTACTTGTCAAACTAGAGGATTTTCGATTTATTTCTCTTATTACACAGGGATACCAAAATCATATCAGAATAAGTCTGCAAACATTTGCGAGAAAGGGCCAAACAGTTATGCCGTGTCTCAGAGAAGCCTATGTTATTAAATACAATGTAAAGGCATTTCTGGAGGATTAAATAAAAACATTGACATTAATACAATTTTATTTAAGCAAAAACATAAAACAAAAAAATCAAATTTCTTCCTAAAATCTAAGGACACTTAGAGCGGGTAAAATGCTGATATGTACAGATATAAGTAATTGTAGTAAAATTATAATACTTTTTCTGTATAATGTAACATGAAAAGTTTAAAGAACCGAATCATTGCCGGAAAAGTAAGAATACAGGGGCAAGTCTATTTAGCTTTGAGTAAATGCTTATCTCTATAAATTGGCGAGATATCGCCAAGACGGCGATAGATTGGGCAACTAATTTCGCAGCAAAATTTCGAGTGGCGACATTTTATTCGGTCCCTGTATAATTGTAATGGGTATCGTAATTGAATTTCTGTAATTGATCCTCTAGATAACTGCAACCGTATGCCACCCTCCTATGCATTCAGTCATTGCGAGAAGCTCTAGAGATTTCTCGGCGGCCAGGAGAAAACTATATAAGATCAGAGAGAGTAACAGTTTCGGAGCAGTTACTGTTATTTCAGAGCTGAATTGGGAGTAGTGAGATATACGAGTAAGCTTCGGTCCTTAGATGCACTCAAGTATAATACATGTCAATGATAGGAGGAAAATATCATCCGGGTGTTCAGTCAGCAGTGGGTTCTAAATGAAATTCTGATTAAAAAAATTCATTGCATTGGAAATAAATTAATTCCAACTAATATTCTTCTCCCACTTGCTTCACTTCTGTTTCGTAAGGAAAACCTCGCTTCTCAAATCATTAATAGAACTCACAACGTTTCTTTTCCTTTCTTTTATTAAGACTTGCAAAGTGATAATAATTTCCTTTTGGAAATTATAATTCCTATAGTAAAAGTCTGCTTTCAAAAGCTCAGTAATTAGACTAAAAATCTCAAATGCAGGCTTGCACTTTTCTTGAAGTTCGAGATTCAAAGTGTTCATGTTAGTCATGATGCCTGCTAAATAAGCTAACTTGAAAATCCACTTTGGATCCTGAAAGTAAGAAGCACCTTAATTTTTTCCTCTTTAGAAACATAGAAATCACTTGTCTCAATGTATACTCTCATTACAGCATTTTAAAACCCTCGAATATTTGAAAATATAAGATTCCCATACTATGCTAATGTAATGAATCTTTATGAGTTTTTTATCAATACCGATGTGCTCTTAGAGGAATACCAACAAACCTCTTTTCCGCTACAACAATTGATGTTGCACCATCTGGAATGACTTAAAGAAGCTTTGATAAATTATGATTCATTTCGGTAATTCTTTTAATTATGCTTTCAAAAATATCTGCTCTGATCCTAATATAATAATAAATAGGTATTAATGGTACAAATTATTCCACAATATCAAATGCTGGTGTTAACTTCTCGTACTTCAAATCTGCGTTTTATTGATAGCAAAGGAATAATATTCTAGATTATTGAAAACGGCTTTTAAGCCACTTTTGATATTCGCTACCATCTCTATAACTTGCCTTGTCACTATTCTAGCCGATACGTTGATTGAAGAAAATAATTCCTTTTTTAGCCCAAAGGGCTATTAATCTCGAAATGGCACTTTGCTTCGAATCACTACAAACAGCTGTATCATTTTTCAAATTGTTGCCACCAATTATTATCTACCTGTATTATATTCAAAGAAATTAAATAATGAAGAATTTGCCTGAATGTATGTATGTTTCTCACATTATGAAAAACCAATGATACCTACACCACCAAATTTTGAATAACGTAATCTTCTACGAATATGGGCACCCGATTGTTTCGAAAGATGTGTATTTTCTACTTTCCTCATCTTCTTCAACATGAAAAAAAAAAATGTTTCAAATCTGTTATTGTATATACCATTGCCAACTCTAATTTATCAATGACGTCATCAATTTTTGCCAGTGGAATGTGATCGCGAATTATCTTTTTATTCAAGCGACTTAAATCCACATACAATCGGCTTCAGGTATTTTTTCCCCGCTTAACACTACATCACATGAGTAGTCGCAACAGCTTGGTTTTATTATTTGTTTATGTAACCAATCAGATATCTGTTTACCAATTCCACGCTGCTCTGTGACGCGGGAAGTCTTGGCGTACAATGAACCGGAAGTGTATTTGTCAGCACTAGTCAATTTTGTAACATGCAATATTTCATCTCGATGTTCTCCTTCTTTAATATGATTTCCTCGTTATTATTGATATAACGAATGCACATCAAATATTTTTATGGCTGCACTTTGTTAATTTCAACACCTTTTTCATTTACATTTCATTGATCTTGCCTTATAACATGTGTATCAAAGATAGCTTGAAGAAAAATTTCGTTTTCTGCGACAACACAAATATTTGATCTCAATTAAGCACCGTCAATTTCGAATTCTCCAGCAATTTTCCTTAAATTTCCTTCAAATTTCCTTGAATTTAACGCTTCTTTACTAGTAAACAATACATGTCATTAAAATTAATTTGGGTTGTCTTCATTGCTAGTTTTAAATAAGGCGAAGTCCGAGCAAATACATTATAGTGATGTCAGACCACTTCTTGTTAACCGCCCTACGAGGATCGCGAGTTCTTACAAAATCAGAAAGTGTAGGAATAAAAATGAGTATAGTCATTTTTACTATTCATATAAGTAAAAATATGCAAATAAATAGTTCGAGACAAAACTTACACCTCTCAAAGTCGTAACCTTTTGTTCATTGTTGTGATTCGTTCCTACCAGTGGCCTCACCTCGGGCAGATCGTCCAAAATATGTGGAGTACTTTTCTTACCTTGACGTCTGTGACCACACTTCATAAAATTGTTAAAGGAAATGTATTCACTATTCCAACTGACATTTTAACTTGAACATTTAATGAAGAATATCAACTGTTTTCACACACTATGAAAATGGATAACAGAAACATAATCATTTACATTACTTTTGTCACAATAAAGGAAAGTAGAAAAACGTTCATTCATCTTTATAGCATCCCACACATCTTTTAACGTCTTAACCTCTTTTATCGCCATGGCAGCCTCAGATGCATTTTTCTTCATAAAAATTATTCTCTCTAACATCGTATACTTACCTATAATATACATTATAAGCATGCATTTTATGGACAAGTGCATGTATTAAATTAACGCGTGCTCTTTGTATACACGCACATACATCGTTTGAATTTACTATAAAAGTGATCTGGTCTGTGAACCTGACTTTCGACCTGATTTTCAACAAATAGTACACCGTCTCGGGATATCATCTAATCCTGCTTTGCTACCCGGCGATGTCAGAAGCCATCCTATCTATGTCCGATGTAATACACTTGCTGTCAACCACGCTAGGAGCTATTTTTGTAACATGATAATTGCCCATTCTCATGTAGCGCACCTCACTACCGACATTCTCCTCAGCATACCAACTCTTTCATGCCCACGTCTTCAACGGTTGCCCAATGTCTCTGGCATTGAACATATTTGGGACATCATCAGCAGCCAGCTGCTGGGATTGCAAAACAGTTCTGACCCCTGCTAATTAGGAATCTAACAGAACATGCCTCCGTACTGCATTAGATATTTGTATACTTTCATGGCAGACCACATTTCTGCCGGAAGCGGTGTCCGCGATGATACTACGTCTTTTTAACTTGTAAAGTTTCTTGACCAGTGCTGTTTTCAATAAATGGTATAAATCATTTATCATTGTTCTCACTCCTGTTTTTCCTTATTTTCCGTATGTTCTAAACCACTTTCATCATGATCATGCCTCTCTCTAGATGCGTCTATTTGTTTTGCTAGAGAGTGTGTTTTCTAAAAAAGGAATTATAGATATATCTGTAAAACGGAAAACGAACGCCACTCCACGATGAAATGACGAAAAATGTAATGAAGCGTGGAGAACCTAAGATATCAGAATTTTGAAGAGCTAAATTAAGCCATTCTCATTGTAGAGTTCCTCACTTTGTAATTCTAAGTTAATGTTGGAAGTGAAGAATCTAAGAACTGATAAGTGAATAATCGCTTAAGTTTGGTGACAAGAAACAACAAGAGTAACTAACCCTTTATTATTCCAATACGATTTAACAAAACTCCGCCTGAGAGTGTACAAACAAAGCCCGCACTTGGGCTTGAACCTAAAAGACTAAGAATTAAACTAAAACTAAAATTAACTAAATAAAAATAGTCGAAGCTATCAAGGTTCAAATCGAGTTGGCCCCTTAACTTATTTGACTACGAAGCTTAGCAAGAGCCTGAGTACGGCCGAGCGTAATAACTGCTTTCAGAGAGAGAGAGTGGCCAGAAAGGCAGACGCGCGTAAACCAGAAACTCAGATTCTCTCTGACTGAGTAACTTCGTGGTTTAAATACCGCTCCTCCTCATTAAATATTCAGCAAGATTCCAAAACTACGTTCTGCCCGGAAGTAGTAAGTTGAAGTTAAGAATTTGATAGGAAAGGAACTTTAACTTAAAATTTAACTTTTAATAAAATTAACATAATCCTTACATCATTAAAAAACTATATTTATTAATATCTTGTTTTGTTTCTTACTTCTTTTTGATTAATTCTTTTTTTAACGCTTCAATACTTTTTTCACGACAGATGATGCTATATTCATTTTCTCATTAATCTGATCATTGAATTTTCGCAAAAAAATGTTGTTTTATCTATTTTCGTATACATTTCCGTGAAAAAGAAGAATATAGGTCAGATCATCTTCAAAAAGAGAGATTTCCCGCAAACTACGGCAAATGAAGTTTGCGTTTTTGCCTAATTTTAATGGAAATTTATATTTTGTGCTGAAACTTCATTGTTTGCCTTAATATCCGATGCATCACTAATTATATAATATGCATTAAGCAAATTTAATTCGCATTCAAAATTTTTCCTCACCTTTATTAGTAAGATGTGTAATATATATGACATGGAAGTTTACTTCTTGTGTTTGCATACTAATTTACCTAACATGCATACGACATGGGAAGTCAATAATATAGAATAATTTGAAATCCCCTAATTCATATTATTACATTACTTACTGAAAGTGATTTATTGTAATATAAATTTTACTTATTGCTTGTTACTGATAACAGCTAATTGTTTATTGAGATATATTACCATGTTATCTTACATTTATAATGGCATTAACATTTTCTTTAGAAACTAGGAGAAAAGATCAAGAAAGAAAAGGAAGATGACGGAATGAAAAACTCTGCGCATGATCTCTTGAAATATCCTCAACTTCGGAAGAAATTTATCATCATAACGTTTTGCTGGTAAAATATGTTATTGATTTCTTTATGAAAACAGAAAATAATATACACCATGGGCAGACTATAAGAAGGCGTCATCAACTTGCCACTTGCAAGTTGCTTTAAATTGAAGAACGTTATCTGTTTGGACTGTATTTGTGGCTCGAATCCAAACTGACTATATTGGCAGACTATAAGATGACGTATCATGGGCAGACTATAAGATGGCGTATCATGGGCAGACTATAAGATGGCGTCATCAACTTGTCAGTTGCAAGTTGTTTTAAATTGAGGAACGTTACTTGTTTGAACTGTATTTGTGGCTCGAATCCAAACTGACTATATTGCTAGATTAAACCAGTTCAAAAGAGATATCATTAATTATAAAAATATACTCATATTTGAATATATGAACAAAACCTAAACCCAATACATAAATCATTTAAAATGAAAATGATAAATAATCTTATAACAGAGAAAAATCCTCCTTTGGAGTAAGAAAATTGAGGAATAAAACCTCATATTAGCATTTAAACCATTAAGTGTGTTCTGGCTCCCAAAACGTTAAGCATGCAACACAAATTAGCCATTTTTGAAGGTGTAGTTGACGCTGAGTGGCTAAAATTCGCTGAGGATACAGATGACGGTATGCAAATATCGTATGTTGTAGCCAATAACGGTTGACTATCCGAACATATGCTAATTAGGTGTTGTTGAAGCCGTCAGCATTCGTAAAGACTTGAGGAGATTTATTTAAATGCTGATACGGAAATGTTTATAACTTTCGTAGAGTAGCCTATTTTGATATTTGTGTTTCTATGGCTGAAAGAAGACTAACGACAGATAGTCAGTACTGGAATGCTGTCAGACGCTATGTTGCGCTTTCTCTTTGGCCGTCAGCATGCGTAAGGACTTGAGGAGATTTATTTAAATGCTAATACGAAAATATTTATAACTTTCGTAGGGTAGCCTTTGATGATATTCGTGTTTCTATGGCTGAAAGCAGACGGATGACAGATAGTCAGCACTGGTATGCTGTCAGACGCTATGTTGCTCTTTCTCTTTGGCGTTGATTCATTCGGTAATTTCTTGAATATGAAAGTAATTCTTAGCAAACCAAACAGCTATCTGCAAATCTGTGCCCGATCAACCAAGGGTTACCCCCTTCTGAAGATTGGTATACAGCTATAGTAAGTAGCCAAGCGGAATTGATGAGCGAGCTTTCCATAGTTTCTATGGCTGAAAGCAGACGGATGACAGAGAGTCAGCACTGGTATGCTGTCAGACGCTATGTTGCTCTTTCTCTTTGGCGTTGATTCATTCGGTAATTTCTTGAATGTGAAAGTAATTCTTAGCAAACCAAACAGCTATCTGCAAATCTGTGCCCGATCAACCAAGGGTTACCCCCTTCTGAAGATTGGTATACAGCTATAGTAAGTAGCCAAGCGGAATTGATGAGCGAGCTTTCCATAGTTTCTATGGCTGAAAGCAGACGGATGACAGAGAGTCAGCACTGGTATGCTGTCAGACGCTATGTTGCTCTTTCTCTTTGGCGTTGATTCATTCGGTAATTTCTTGAATATGAAAGTAATTCTTAGCAAACCAAACAGCTATCTGCAAATCTGTGCCCGATCAACCAAGGGTTACCCCCTTCTGAAGATTATTATACAGCTATAGTAAGTAGCCAAGCGGAATTGATGAGCGAGCTTTCCATAGTTTCTATGGCTGAAAGCAGACGGATGACAGAGAGTCAGCACTGGTATGCTGTCAGACGCTATGTTGCTCTTTCTCTTTGGCGTTGATTCATTCGGTAATTTCTTGAATATGAAAGTAATTCTTAGCAAACTAAACAGCTATCTGCAAATCTGTGCCCGATCAACCAAGGGTTACCCCCTTCTGAATATTGGTATACAGCTATAGTAAGTAGCCAAGAGGAATTGATGAGCGAGCTTTCCATAGTTGCAGCTTCACTTTGTAAAATAATATCTGCTAGTTTTGTGCGCTGAACGCTTCACATGAATAGTCACAAATACTAAGTGTTTGTGTTCCACTAATCGCTCAATCCAGGGGGTAAAACTTAAAGAGGTGACATCAACATCTCAACTGGACTGTCCCAGATTGGCACAACGTCCTGTTCACGGACAAGTCCATATTTGCCTGGAATCAGGTGATAAGCGTGTCTGAAAAGAACTAAGCACACCAAATCAGACTCAAAATATCATGCATTCAAAAGTGGCAGTATCATGCATTCAAAAGTACGCTCTAGGCTGGAATTCCAATGGGATATAGTATCTAGCTGCACATCTTTAAAGATGGTTCTATGATGGTTCCATCGTATCAATATGAAGCCCTACATCCCACTGTGAGATTCTACACTGAAGCACGTGGTCTTGATTTCGTTCTTATAGATAATAATGTCCGCTTCTATTGCGCCAACACTGCTAACGAGTAGCGGGAAGAGAGGGCATTTATCATTTGGAGAGGCCGCCGAATTATTCTAACCTTTAAACTCACTGTAAATTTTCGGAATGCGCCAGTCGAAATGACAATTCGATTATCCACTTTCCAAGTTTAACATATAATTAACGCAGTAATTATATCTTTAATATATCTTAAAGTAATTATATCTTAAAGATATAATTACTGCGTTATATAATATTATATATATATATAATTATATTTTAAAGATGTAATTACTGTAAGATATAATTAACGCAGTAAAGGAAAATTAGGATGAACTGAGTGTTTAAACAGAAAAATTTTCAAGCTACATTAATAAAAATATATTTAAGTGCCATTTTTATAAGTTATATAAAATTTCTAAATTTTTAATTGTCTTATTTGCTGAAGTACTTACTTGTATACCGTAATGTCTTCAATAGAATATGTTCTTTCCCATTATGTACTATATTTATTTTGGATTTCAACAGAATAGATTTAACCTATGGGTACAATCTGAAAAATTTTCAATAAAAATAAAAATCAGGTTTTCTTAATCTGTTAAAATTATGCTGGAATATTCATGGAGCATTTTACGTCCACAGGGTAGCCGATCTCATGGCTTATTATGGTCTCCAGATGAACGTATCTAATTTAGCGGGCAATGAGTTTATCAACTTTTTCTTGCTGGCTGTGGTCGAATTTCCCGGCTATTTGACAAGCTGGGTGTTTATGGAACGTTTTGGAAGGCGGTGGTGCTCAGTTGGTGGTTTTATGCTCACTGGCCTTATATGCATGCTACCTTCTGTAGGTAAGAACTATTGAATAACTCATTTAATTATAGATCTTCGTATATATTTCTTCTTGAAGATACTTACAACCGTATTCTGACTCTATTTTCAAATTTTAGTGCATACGTATGTTGTTTTAAATATTAATCAATTAATATGTATTATTTTCAAATGAATATAAAAGGTTGATTTTGTTTTCTCATATGATGTGATGATTACTCTGTGAAGCTATAATTTAAACACAGAGTTTTTCAAGATCTAAACATACATTTCAATCGGGTTCCAGTACAAAAAAAATAGCCTAAATGCTATTGATTATAAAGAAAATATTTCTGCTTCTGTTGTCTCTCAGTATGATTGTATTTTACCTCCATCTGATCTTCCTCATCCTTCAGAAAGAAATGCTGTTAATTTTATTCAGTTTAGCAATAAAATCGTATATGATTCGCCTGTAACTTACTATACTGATGGCAGCAAAATTGATGGCAAGGCTGGTCTCGCATTTGTTGTCTTCAAAAATGGTCTTGAATTTGAGCACTTTCAATTTAGAATTAGAGATGAATGTACCGTTTTTATAGCTGAACTTTTGTGCTTAAACTTCGCCATCAAATGGGTCTCTGAACAAAATAGTGCTGTTTCAGACTATCTCATTTGCACTGATTCCCTTTCATCCTTGGAGATCTTAAAATGTATTTCCTCTTCTAATAATATCATCATCGAGATTCAAAAAGAAGTGTAAAACCTAAAAGATAAAAATATTTCGGTTGCATTTTCATTTGTTCGTGGTCATACAGGTGTTGTTGGGAACGAACGAGCCGATTTCCTTCCTAAGGCTGCGACTAAGCGGGAAATTGACCCTTTTGTCAAAATTACTAATTCCTTTTATAAGAAGTTCATGTATGAAAGTATTGTGGAGTCGTGGAACCACGAATTCATTAATTTAAATAAAGGGAGCTTAACAAAGAGATTTTTCCCTTCTATCAAGATGAGATTGTCATGTCATCACTTCTTCACAGACTATAAATTAACCCAATTTCTTACTGGCCACGGAAATTTCAAAAGTTATTTGAATAGATTTAAGTTGAGCTCCGAGTCTGTTTGTGATTGTAGCCTCGGTGGAGAGGAGAATGTTGAACATGTGCTTCTTCTATGTCCTAAATATAAGGACGAAAGGAAAGTCTTCAAACTGGAACTGAAAAACTTAAATATTAACTGGCCTCCAGAATTTTATCAATTATTTCCGAGAGAGGTGTTTTTAACACTTTTTGTCAGTTTATTGTGAAACTTTGTAATCATCCTTAATTTATTTCAGTTTTTTCTTCTGTTTATTTTTTATTGTGTTTCATACTTACTTCTGTAAGCGCCATGTGATACTAAGTGGTACATAGGGAACTTATTGTGTTTCTTTAATTAAAAAAACATATTATTTAAAATGATTTCTCTGACTTCAGAGAAGTACATTTCATTTTAACTTGATACAAATTAAATAGAAACAGAATCTATGTTGATTACCATAATTTCTTTCACGAATAATGGGAGAATTTTTTAACGAACAGCTCTCAACTTTCAAGCGATCACGCTAATATCGATGACTCAGTTTCAACATCTGGACCCTTTAATTCCAGACCTGATGTTATGCGATATTTTAATTTAGAAATTTCTTTAGAGATGCTGCATTCACTCTACCTTTTCTTATAAACAAAAATAATCCCATACAATACATCATTACTAACACATAATATAATATTATGCAAAACTTGGATGATTTTCATTCGAAAGGCGTCTGGCATTTAAATTCAAGTCACTTATTTTAAACTACACACACGTTATACGGCGAATAACACAGAACTTTGTTATTATCTCGTAATTGTAATATATTTTCGTTATATATACTAGACTCGTCAAGGATAATGAGTATAACAATTAGCACAGTATCTGATTATAACACTTAGCTATGCGGCAGTGTCAGTTTATTGCTCATTATATTAAGGGGACTCATACACCTTAAAACCTGCAAGATCTTCGAATATGTGACTGTTGCAAGAATTCTGATAACTTATTTATTTTAAAAGCAACTACTTCCAACTTTTTACAGCTGACTACATAATATAGCTACTTCCTGAAATAACAATCAAAAAGCTTGTGTTGCCACAAATATTTTTATAATTAATCCGCTTTGTGACAAAATTTTTCGTCATGTTTCCACCTTGCGCGCACAGTTTAAAACATTCTGTTGCATAATTTAAGTTCCATATTTGATATATAGTTTTTATAACATTTGGAAACGACTGCGAACCAAAAATTCTAACAATTTCCATGTTATATTTTTATTTTATTTGGAGTTGGGTTTATAAAATGTGTTTTATTTAAAAAAATTCTGCAATATTTTCGTCCATAAATTTTTTTTAATATAAAAATATTCATCAGACTTTTGGTTCAGTTTAGAAAATAGTGCCCATATAAAGAATTCCATCTAATTTCAAGTATGTACCATTAACCATTTTTACAATACCATGCGCGCAAGGTGGAAACATGGCGAAATATTGTGTCACAAAGAGGATTAAATTACAAAAATATTTGTGGCAACACAACTTTCTGGTTACTAGTTTCCAAAGCAGTTATATTATGTAGTCAGCTGTAAAAGGTTGGAAGTAATTGCTTTTAAAATAAATAAAATATCCTAATTCTTGCAACAGTCGCATATTCGAAGATCATAAGGGGTTTAAGGTGTATGAGCCCCCTTAAGAGGACCAAATGAAGAATTTCCAGACAATCATTCAAAATTTCACTCTGCTCAGTATTATAAGTGAAGAGCTTTATAAGTAAGTTAGAAACTATTTTTAATTGTCAGAAGAATAATGATTTTAAGGAACTGCATAGAAATTAGTCCGCAGCAGTAATTCTAAAATAGAGTAAAAAAAAAATAAAACAATCAGTGCAATCTAACGTGGTCTAGAATATCCACAGTCATCTTACATTCTTCCGCCCCCATGTGGTTCATCAAGCTGAAACACGTGACTCCAAACGACATTTGTTTTTGCAGCTTAAGAATGGAGGTCACTTGCTTTGTAGTAAAATTTCGAATTCCTCAAACACGTGTTTAAACTCAAATTTTATATACCTTGTAAAGTTTTATTTTTAAACCACTAGAAATAGAAATCGTTTCTTAATATAGGTACTCGATCATTCATATAGGCTAAAGAATCTTGCACTGCGCATACGCATATTTTGGGTAATTATGTCGATGAGTAGGAATTTTGATTTCAAGCGTACGTTCATAGCTTTAATGGCTATAATGGTGTTAGCCATAATATCAGGAGCATCTTCAAAAAACAACTACCGAAGATTAGTTACTTCAAGTGAGAAGAGAAATATTTTGCTGTGTAAAATGGATATGGTTGAACAACTTATTTGCTCTGCCGTAGAGGAGTGCTATTAAAATTATAACATTCATCGTCATTTGTAGATCGAAATTCATATTACATAGTGACGTTTTTTCTTGCGTGTTTTCAGTAAAAAAAATTTTTTTTTAAATGCTTTCTTCTAGAAATGTAATATCACGGTAATTTCACAAGATACTGGATGACTAGAGCATCTTATGAAATTTATTACGTACTTGGAAAACCTAGAGAACCATTTACTACGGCTTTCAATTGGGTTCCAGTACAAAAATAGCCCAATATTATTCAAAATGACTTGTGAGGTTTTTACTATCAAAATGAGGTGTTTACTACCGCTACGGTTACGGTTTAGGCTTTGAGGAGACTTTTAATGAAAGAATTCTCCATACATGATTCTAATGTATCACTTGAAAAATTTAGTACTAACAGTCAACTGTGCAAATTAAAATTGTGCAACTCTCAAATTATACGTATAGTGAGGATTTATCTATTTATTTTTGACTAATAGTAATTTTGAGTTAAAGTAACTTTCTTGTCGCTCTCCTTTTCACTCATGGCCCACCAGCGGCAGAGCGGTAAAGTCGCTGAACACTGGTAGTTCGGTCCGAGGTTCGAATCCCGCGAACGGGCTGGCTGCATGGGTGTTTTCGTGGTTTTCCCCCATGTGTAACGTGTATACGAGCCAGTTCCCTTAGAAAGTCCTCCACGAAGGCATCCCTCCCCTTAGGCAGATAGCCCTAGTGTGCTTTGCCATAATTAAATACACACACCTTTTCACTCATGCTTTTCATGCCAGAATGTAAATCAGAAGCCGCCCAGACGGTACAGTGGTTAGGGAAGCTTACTAGGGTACCAAAGGAACCAGGTTCGAATAGCGGAGAAGGGATGGATGTTTGTAAATGTATAGTGTCTTTGCAGCATGGGGGCACTCTAACTATAGGTTGAGCCGAAAGCCCTCTCAAGAGGTTGGTGGTAGGGAAAGAGGGGTGGAAGATCCTCAGGCCCGTCCCTTCGGGGTGCTCTTCATCAAAATTGGGGACGGAACTGAGCGAAGTCGTATTCTTGCCAAAGACAGGAGCAATCTTGCTTTTCTTCCCAGGCCCAATCTTGCTCTTCTTTGAATTTCTGAGTTTTTTCTGATGCTACTATCACACAAGTAAGATAAATCACACACACAATGTAAATGAGATAGCGCGCGTTTTTTCAGATTGAGGGAGAAAAAAGTATTATTCAGGCGAAAGTTTCGCAAGTTGATTTTCGAGCGTATTCTGCCTACTTGAGACCACGTTGTTACAGTGACTAAATAGCGATTTTATTCTGTGGCGTTGAGTGCTTCTAGCCATTAGGCTTGTCTAGCCGGTTTTCTACAAATCAGAGCCTTCCTGGGGGTTACTTTAACCTGTGAGTCGTTAGGCTCACTGCATTTGATTTTAGTTCAACATTACTTGTTTAAGTTAAGCCAGAATTGTTGGCTTGTGTAAACTCAAGCTGCATTACTGTTACTTCTTTGCTTTGAAATAAAAGGGCTATTTACACACTTATTCTGACTTGTCTGTCTGCAGTTTAAGACAAAGGGATTATTCCTCTATAGTCTTTCTAGAGCTTATGATTTTATGCTA